CCATCAATTTTTCTCTCTCTCTCTCCCCCCCCCCCCCACTCTCTCTGAAAAGCAATGGAAAATGTATCTGTGGGCAAGGAATAAAAAAATAATAAATAAATACACAAAAAAGACACTACTTGGTGTTCAGTTAGTCTAAACGTTAAAGTAATACCTCTTGCATTTTTGAAATGTGAATTTTTTTATGTTTGGCTACTAATAAGAATTATATAAAAGAGATAAAAATGTGCTGAAGTTTAAACATACATAGACTTTAATTTTGTGGTCTAATCAGGCAACAGATTTATCACATAGATTTGTAATTATCAAAATTACAGTGATTGGAGCCACCTAATATCAGAAAGGTATTCATTCTAATTTATCTTTGGCTAAAGGAGTATACAGTTTACACACTATTGGGTGGTAAGACTGGCTTTTATGTGTGGCTTGTGGAACCAGCCTCATTTTATAATTGTCTCTGTGCATTTGAAGTTATTTTTCGCTTCTCAGCTAAAGACAGTTGCAATTTTTCTGAAAGTGCGTAGAGAGGAAAAAGAGCATTTTTAATGCAAATTTGTCTAAAAAGTCTTGGCAAGAAATGGCACCCTTTTTAAAAAAGAATTATTAATTTAAGGAATAAACTTAATTTACTTAGGTTCTTTTAGATTGAGTGGTGAAGTAGAATTGATCATTTTTAAATACAATATCACTGATATAACTGGCAATTTATGAGCTATAATTAGTGTGGTTTAAAGCAGAATTCTGTTTGGAGTGATTATTTTTATAGGTTAGATAACTATTACATTAGCCATTTATGTTAAGACCTTGTATAAAAGTATGAAGAAAGTCTACATGTTCATCTATGAGTAGCAATGAGTATTCTACAAGAAATGATTTTTTATCCAGAAATGATTTTGTTTTATTCTGTTCTTTTTTTACAGCTGTCATTGTTAATTATGCAAGTGAAATGTTTAACTGCTGAGCTCAGTCAATGGCAGAAAGAAACTCCTGAAAGTAAGATTCTTATTTTTAGGTTTATATTTTGTAAACAAAGTAATGGCAAATTAATGGTCAAAAGAAGAATTGCAAGATCCATTTAGCCTTGTTGAAATTTCCTAAATTGTATTGATGTTAGGAATTCGCCTTATTTTTCTTTTTTTATATACGTTATTTTGTGCTTATTTTACTATTATAGATGAACATTTCTGTCTCACATAGTAATCTTGGTTATGGAGACATTATAGCCACGCTTCATCCTCAAAGACACTGTCTTATGTGCTCAGTAGAAACTGTAAATTGTTTCTTAATGAATGAAACTCACCTAGGTGAAAAGTATTTTAGATATATTACTTATTTATGTAAGGGCAACATAGATTGTATGTCATGTTTTGACTTGTCAGACTAAGACCAACTATATTTTTGCCTTTAGTTGAGAAATAGAAGATTGCTTAAAAATCTTTAGTCATAACCCCCAATTAGGAGATATTTTTCTCTTATGAAAGCCTACATTTCTCTATGCCGTGTATGTCTGTATATTGTACTGTATGGATTTGTACCCTCTTTTTCTGTATATATCTCCCTTATTCTTTCTGCTGACTCTGTCTCCTTTCCTTTAACTTCCCCCCCATTTTCTTCTCAGTCTCCTTTGTAAGCTTATCATTCTCCATCCTGGTTATTGGGAGTCTTTTCATTCTGTTCCTGGACAATTTTATCTGCATTCTTGGTCATAATTACTATATTCATGCCAGTGTCTACTGTTCCACAGCCTCACTACCACATAGTAGCCTTTTTAATTTTAGCACTTCTAATAGGCATGCACATACAACTGGTGATTTTAATTTGCATCCAACTGTATATCCTGTTGCCTATGAGCATTGTATTGAGCATCTCAAAAGCTGCTTATACTCTGCTATCAAAACTTTAGTGTTCTCCAGAGGACTGTGCTCAGCTCTTTATCACTTCTCACTCTAAATACTGTTCCAGCATTATATTTTCTGCTCCTGTTTTTATGTATTGTCACTGTATTAATGACTTCTATATTAGGTTGCTAGGCCTGCCATCTCAAAGTACCATGACTGGGTTTTTTAAATAACAGAACTTTGTTTTCTCATAATTGTGAGGACTAGAAGTCCAAGATCAAGGTGTTCTTTTCTTCTAAGTTCTCTCTTTTTGAGTTTATAGATTTTCATCTTCTCCCTGTGTCTTCACATGGCCACCTGTCTGTTTTCTAATCTCTTTGTATATGACTCATTGTAACATAATTACCTTTTTAAAGACCCACTACCAAATACAGTCACATTCTGAGGTTCTGAGGATTAGGACTTCAACATTTGAACTGGGCAGAGGGGGTGTGACACAATTTCCATAACAATTTCCAAAACGATATTTCCAAACCAGACTTCACGGTAAGGTTACACTTATACATCTCTCTAGCTTCTAGACATCTTTCCAAAATATTCTGTTGGTGCCTCAGATTCATGAACTGGTCTTCATTCCTGGACCCGTTGTGTGGAGCCTACTTGAGTCTTCCTTTTTCATATGTCACATGCAGCCATCATATATTGAATCCTGTTGCCACAAATTTACTTTAAGCTTTCATTCCTAATCCTTATTATAATAGACTTTTTACTTCTCAATTAAGATTTTTTTTTAGGCCCTGGCCATTATGGCTCAGTTGGTTGGGCGACATCCCGTGCACCAAAAGGTTCCTGGTCAGGGCACATGCCCGGGTTGTGGGCTCGATCCCCAGTAGGAGGTGTGCAGGAGGCAGCTGATAGATGTTTCTCTCACACCGATGTTTCTCTCTCTCTAAAAAGATCAATAAAAAATCTTTAAAAAAATAAAAAGGTTTTTTTGGGTTTTTTTAGTTAATTAGAAATTTTCAAATTTAAAGGAAAGTTAAAGGTCTGACTTGATTATTTCACATGTGTATTATCTAGTTTTCCCAGGAGCATTTGTTGAGGAAACTGTCCATTTCCTCAGTGAATTATGTTGGAAGCCTAGTCAAAAATCATTTAACCATATAGTGAGGATTTGTTTCTGAGTACTCTGTTCTGCTCTGTTCTTTTGGTCTCTATGCCTTTCTCCAAGCCAGTAGCACAATTTTGATTACTGTAGCTTTGTAGTTGGAAATTAGGATGTGTGAGACTTCCAACTTTGTTCTTCTTTTTCAAGGTTGTTTTGGCTATTTGAGATTCCATGTGAACTTTAGGATGGATTTTTCTATTTCTACAAAAAATGTCACTGGAACTTTGATAGGGGTTTTATTGAACTTGTAGATTGCTTTGGGTACTGTTGACATCCTAACAGTATTAAGTCTTCCAATCCTTGAACATGGAATGTGTTTTTGTTTCTTAGTGTTTTTCATTTCTTTCAGCAACATTTGTAGTTTTCAGTGTATAAGTCTTTTCCCTCCTAGGTAAATTTATTTCTAAGTATTTCTTTTTAATGCTACATATCATGGAATTTAAAATTCTTTTTCGAATTATCATTATCCCTGACATGCACACTTGGTACTGATAGCACTGAACACACAGGCTTCCCTGTTGGTCAAATATATCCACCTTGCTTAGAGTTGCCAGTACCATAGGCTGCCACATTGGAAGGATTTAAAAAATCTTTGTATTCTTAGAACCTGCCATATTGTATTGTTTGAAATGATTGAATGAATATTGAAATGCTACTCTTGGCCACACTGACTGAGAAGGAGATTTTAAAACTTTTATGTTCTTAGAATCCTCCTCATTGCATTTGCTGAGATGATTTCATACATCCTGTGGCTGCCTATAATCAGTTCTAATTCAGCGCCAATGAAACACATGTTGGAAATTCTGGGATCCTCTAGGATAGCAGATAGCTTAGAAAGTTTTCATATATATATATGTATGTATGAATGGGATCTTGTGACTACAGAAGGCCTACACTAGAGATTATTAATTTGATTTTTAATTATTGAATAAAAGAAAAAGTCACTAAAAACAAAATGTGTAATATCACATTTGTCTAAAATAATATATATTAGTTATATATAAGGCTGTTAAATAAAAATAATTTCATAAATTGCACATATTTCATAAAAAGTTCTATAACATTAAATGGGAAAGAAAAGGGATATCTAAGAAACCACAAATTCAAATTCTTGATTTTTGAGAGATAACTAAGCATATGTATAATTTTGTTTTGTTTGTTTGTTTCTGTAGTACTTCCACTGAATGAAGAGGTCCTGGTAACATTAGGAAAAGAAGAAGTAAGTCACTTAATTTGTAGTAACCCCAAGTAATTTATAACTATAAATGTTTTAGATAAATTTATGACATTATAAGTAGGATGGAACTACTTTAAAACCATATTACTTTTCTATTTTGATTTTAATTATGTTTTATTGAACGGAATATTTTATTTTTTTGGACGTTTGATTTTTATTACTGTTATTTTAAAAAAAATTTTTTTTTCAATTACAGTTGACATATAATACTAGTTTCAGGTGTACAACCTGGTGATTAGACATTTATATAATTTTCGAAGGGATCACATTCCATTGTATGTATGTAACAGTTCTTTATTCATTTATTGATTGGCATTTAGGTTACTTCCATACCTTGGCTATTATAAATAATGCTGCAAAGAACATATGGATACATATGTCTTTTCCATAGTGTTTGGGTTTCTTTGGATAAATACCTCAAAGTGGAATTGCTGGGACCTTCTTTGTCTCTTATTATAGCCTTTGTTGTAAAGTCTGTTTTGTCTGGTATAAGTATTGATACCCCAGCTTTTTTTTCTCTCATGAATATCTTTTTTATCTTTTTGTGTGTCTTTCAATCTGAAGTGAATCTCTTGTAGACAGCATATGTATGGGTCTTGTTTTCTAATCCATTCAGCCACCCTGTGCATTTTTTTTTAATATATCTTTATTGATTTCAGAGAGAGGAAGGGAGAGGGAGAGATAGAAACATCAATGATGAGAGAGCCGTCATCGATCATCTGCCTCCTGCACTGCCCCGACTGGGGATTGAGCCCACAACCTGGGCATGTACTTTGACAGGGAATCAAACCTCTATCTCCTGGATCCTAGATTGATGCTCAGCCATTGAGTCGTGCCCAGCTGGGCCACCCTGCCTTGTGATTGGTGCATTTTGTCCATTTGTATTTAAAGTAATTGTTGATAGATACATATTTATTGCCATTTTATTATTCATACTTTTTATCTTTTTTTCTTCCTCTTAAAGAAGATCCTTTAACATTTTTGTAATACTGGTTTGGTGGTGATGAACTCCTTTAGCTTTTCCTTGTCAAGGAAGCTCTTTATTTGTTCTTCCATTCTAAATGATAGCCTTACTGGTAGAGTAATCTTGGTTGTAGTTCCTTGCTTTTCATCACTTTGAATATTTCATGCCACTCCCTTCTGGCCTGCAAAGTTTCTGTCTTATGGGAGTCCCTTGTAGATAAGTAACTGCTTTTCTCTTGCTGCTTTTGAGATCCTCTCTTTGTTTTTAACCTTTGGTATTTTTATTATGATGTGTCTTAGTGTGGGCCTCTTTGGTATCCTCTTGTTTGGGACTCTGCACTTCCTGGACTTGTCCATTTCCTTTGCCAAGTTAGGAAAGTTTTCAGTCATTATTTTTTCAAATAGGTTTTCAATTCCTTGCTCTCTTTTCCTTCCAGCATCCCCATGATGTGAATGTTGATATGCTTGAAGTTGTCCCAGAGGCCCCTTAAATTACCCTCATTACAGAGTTTCTATTTGTTTCTTTTTAAAAGTTTCAATCTCTTTGGTAAACTACTCATTTTGTTCATTGATTTTACTTCTGAGTTTATTAAACTACATATCTATGTTTTCTTGTAACCTGTTGAGTTTTTTTCAGAACTCAATCTTGAATTCTCTGTCATTTAAATTACATATTTCTAGCTCTTTAAGTTTATTTTCTGGAGATTTTTTAATTTTATTTTTGAGCTGCTCTGTCCCCTTGGTTATTCATGGTTATTTAATGGTACTTCTCTGTCTAGGTGTCTATATATGAGTGACATTTCTCCAGTAGGTTGATAAGAAGAAGTCTTTCAATTTTTTCTAGCAGGTGGCACTGAAGCACAGGTTATTTAGTCTCTTGCACTGCTCTGACTTTTCATTTCTCTGCAGGATGGTGGTGGAAATGTCCTGTTTTCCCTGGGAAGATGGACGTCTCCTCTGTGTTCAGGCTGCGTTGGTCTCATGGGCCCAACCCCATGGGGGAATGTGCTGGGCAATGGTTTCTAAATCTATGAAATCTAGTGCTGTCCACTGCAGCCAGATGCAGCTGTGATGGGTGTGGGTGAGGTGAGCTGGGGGAACCTAGCTGCTGTCTTTATTGCTTTGTTCTTCCAGTAATGGTTATTGGCAAACCTCAGTGGCCTCCCCTCTGTGTCTTCACCTGACCCTGGATTAGTCACAGGGTGTATCTGTCACTGAGGGAAAAAAATTTTCTGTAGTACCACTTCTAAGGCTTGTAGATGATGTGCTCCGCAACCCAACATTCGCTGCTACAGTTTCTTCTGAGGCCCAGGGCTAGCTCTGGGAGGGTGAGGAGAGACAAGCCCTGGAAGGGTGTGGGAAGGCATCCAGGCTTTGTCTCTTTGTTTCTCTGTCTGGAATGCTGATTGCCAGATGACCATGGCTGCACCTCTGGGCTGCGTCTCTGCCCATGTCACTGGGTTCAGCCATAGTGCATACTAACCACTCCTTCAGGAATCCTCACTGTATCTCTCTGCTCCTCCCAGCTGAAGGGAGTGCCAGCGGCAACCTGATTCTTCTCCTCTTTAGGCTAAAACCCCCAGTGAACCCCAGGCTGCACCACTAGCACCATCTCAGCTCTTCTCCCTTCCCACGTCCCCCCTTTACTTCCACTTGCCCACCTACAGTTGTATCAATACGTGGATCTCTCAGACATGTTTGTGTGTTGAGCAGGGAGTCCTTTGTTGAATTATAGCTTTTCAAATTGTTGAAACTTCAAGGGGAGAGACCAAGAGGGGAACCTCTGACGTTACCATTCCTTTGACCTCAAAGCCCACTTTTGATGCCAACTGTGTCAGGGTTTTCCCCAAGACCACTCTCGGTCTCTGTAACTTGCTAAATAGGCTCCCAGCATTCAGAAGAGCTATTATAGTCATGGTTGTGGTTTATTATAGTGAGAGGACACCGATTAAAATGAGCAAAGGGAAAAGGCACATGAGCTAAGCGTATTGGAGTCCTTTCCCACTGGGTATGTTTAATTCTTCCTGCAACTGTGTGATAACATGGTCAAAGTGTGATCAGACAGAGAAGTTCATCTTACCCTGTTGGTCATGGTTTCTATCAGGAGTCAGTTGCTATGCATGCAGGGCCTCCTTCACTGTCTTCAGCTACTCAGACTCCAGGTCCCAGAGCAAAAATGCATTTACCAGGAATGACGTCATTAGAATAAACTGTCTAATCAAACTCGTACCATCTGGCCCAAAGGTCCGGGCCCACGCAAACACTCTTAACAGGCAGAATATTCCAGGTGTCTCATAGCTTCTCTTCCAGGAATCCACCAGCAGCCAGTTCTGAAGACTGGCCTTTCTTGGTAATGTGCAGAGTTTGTGCAACCATGGCCTGCTGAATTAACCCTTGCCCTGAAACCGCTTTTTATTCTCTTAACAGTGTCTTTTGAAGAACATACACTCCTAATTTGATTAATTCTATTTTATCAAGTTTTCTTTTAAAGTTTGTGCTCAGCCCAGCCGGGAGTGGCTCAGTGGTTGAGCTTCGACCTGGGATCCAGGCGATCGGGGTTCGATTCCTGGTCAGAGCACATGCTCAGGTTGCGGGCTCGATCAATGACTCTCTCATCATTGATGTTTCTATCTCTCTCTCTCCCTCTCCTTTCCTCTCTCTGAAATCAATAAAGATATATTTAAAAATATATTTATTTTTTAAAGTTTTAGGTTTCACATTTAGATCTATGATCCATTTTGAAATAACGTTTATATATGAAATGAGTTGTTAATAAAGCTTAGTTTTTGCATATAGACACAAATTGTTCCAATACAAATTGTTGAAAGAACTATCTTTCTGTTTTGGATTTCCTTTGCACATTTACTGAAAATTAATTGACCATATATAGTGGATCTATTTCTAGACTCTTCATTTGTCCTTTGGATGTGTCTCTTCCTTGATTCTGTGTTTCTGTCTTAGTCCAATACCACATTGTTTTACTTACTGAAGCTTTGTAATAAGTTTTGAGAATAAATTGTGTAAGTTATCTAACTTTGTTTTTGTTTGTTTTTTACCAAAATTGTTTTATATTTTCATATAAATTAGAGTTGGCTTGTTAGTTTGTCCCATAAAAAAAGCTTACTGGAATTTTGGTTGTGATTGCCCTGAATCTATAGTTTAATGAGGAGAATTGACATCTTTAGCATATTGAGTCTCAGTTCAGATATCCTTTGCACTGTATGATCTCTGCATTGATTTAGGTTTCCATTTATTTGATGTTTTAAAAATTTATCTCATCAATGTTTTGTATCTCACTAAATCAGCACACTAAAAAAGAAAAAAAAGCTTGATCATCTCAATGAATTCATAAAGAATAAGTGATAAAATTTAATATTCATGATTTTTAAAAAAGACTTCATAAATTATAATAGAAGTATGGAAGTCTTATACATGTTTTGTCAAATTCATTCCTTTTGTATTTTATATTTTTGATGCTAGTAAAATTATCTTTTTTTATAAGTCTCACCAGAGGATATGTTTTTCATTGATAAGACAGACAGAGAGAGAGAGAAACATCGATCTGTGTCTCCTGAGTATACCCCGACCGGGGATCAAACCCATAATCTTGGTGTGTGCCCTGACCAGGACGTACGGGACAGTGCTCCAACCAACTGAGCTACACTGGCCAGGGCTAAAATTATATTTTTTGTCAGGCTTTGTTATCAGGGCAATACCAGCTTCATAGAAATTGAGAAGTATTTTGTTCTCAAAGAGTTTGTATAGAATCAGTGTTATTCCTTGAATGTTTGTTAGATTTTTAGATAAAGCCTTCTGGGCCTGGCGTAAAACTACAGATTCAGTTTCTTTACTTCTAGTTAGGTTTCCTGTTTTCTTTGAATGAGCTTTGGTAGTTTGTGTCTTTCAAAGAGTTTGTCTATTTTATCTAATTTTTCAAATTTATTGACATAAACTATTCATAGCATTCCCCCATTACCATTTTAATGTTTGTAAAATGTCGCCTTTTTCATAAGTGATGTTGGTAATTTCTGTCCTCTTTTCACCTATAAATTAGGCTGGGTAATTTTTGACCTAAAAAAATCATCCTTGGGCCTGGCTGGTGTTGCTCAGTGGTTGAGCATCGACCTGTGAACCAGGAGGTCACGGTTCGATTCCCATCGGCACATGCCCGGGTTGTGGGCTCAGTCCGCAGTGGGGGGCGTGTGGAAGGCGGCCGACCCATGAATCTCTCAGTACTGATGTTTCTCTCTCTCTTCCTCTCCCTTCCTCTCTCTGAAATCAATAAAAACATATTTTTAAAAAATCGTCTTTGGGTTTCATTGATTTTTTTTCTCTATTTTTCTTTTTGTTTTTCTATTTCATTGATTTAAGCTTTTATCATTTTTTCTTCAGTTTAATTTTGGTTTTATATGCCCTTTTCCTAGTTATGGTGGAAGGTGAGGTCATTATAATGAGAGCTGTCTTTTTTCTAATATAGACTTTTAGTGATGTAAATTCCGATCCAATGAAGCTTTTGCTTCATCCCAGAAAATTTTATTTTGTTTTTATTTTCAGACAGCTTATAATAATTTATTTTTCTGTTGATTGCTTCTTTGGCCGATAGATTATGTAGAAGCCTGTTTTTAGTATCCAAATATTTGCACATTTTCCAGGTCTCTCTCTGTTATTGGTGTTTAGTTTCATCGCCAGGCCCTGTTTAAGGTGATGCCAGTGTGGTTGCCTTGGGGTTTATGTGCCTGGTCTTTGTTTCCATTTGTCCTCTTCTCTGACCCTCTTTCTAGTTCCAGAAATTGAGACATGACCTTGAATTGGTCCAATCTACTATTCAGTCAAAGAATGAGAAGTTGAAGGAAGACTTGGAAAGGTATATTTATGTTATAATTACTATAGTCATCGATATGTTGAATTGGCGTTAATGTTTTACTTGCCCACTGTTTGTTTTCTTTTTCTGTGTTGAAAGGGAGCAACGATGGTTGGATGAGCAGCAGCAGATCCTCGAGTCTCTTATTGTTGTACACAGTGAACTGAAACATCAGATTGTGACAGTTTCTGAATCAAGGTATTATTTCTGTGTCCTAGGTTTTCAAACTAGGAGAAAGTATTTTCTTTTTTTTACATGAAATACATGGAAAAATGTAAGTTTTACCATAAAATTGTGAGTCTTATCCTAGCTTTTGCTTTCTATTAGTTACATGATCTTTTACAAATGACTTGACTTTTAGTTTCCGTATGTATTAAATAGAGAATAATACTTTCATAAAAGTATCCTCAGTCAGGGCACATACCCAGATTTTGGGTTTGGTCCCAGGTCGGGGTGGGTAAAGGAGGCAACCAATCGATGTTTCTCTCTGACATCGATTTCTCTCTCTTTCTCTCTCTCTCTCTCCCTCCCTCTCTCCCTCCATCCCTCCCTACCTTCCCCCTTCTCCCTTCTCCTCTCTAAAAAATCAATGAAAACATATTTTTTTAAAAAAGAATCTTCAATGAGCTGAAAACTAAACTACGTGGTATAAAAGAATATAAGGAGAAACTATTGGTTACCTTGAGTGAGTTTCTGGAAGAACACTTTCCTCTGCCTGATAGAAATGTTAAAAAGAAAAAGGTAAGTTTTAAAGAAGACATTCATGTAGATATGCATGTATGAAATTGTTACATTTGATAGGATCAAATGTAAATTTTCTGATAAATTTTTGTATGTTATACATTTCAAAGATACACAGATACATGTAGAGAAATTATTTATTGAAAAATTAGAAACAACCTTGTTCAGCAATACAGGGATAGTTAAATACTTTTTTTAATATTGTGTCCATATTTTGAGGGAAATGCAGCTTTAAAAAATATATTGAACACTATCAAAGGAGTTAATGAAATGCTCACAATTTATTGTTAAATGGATAAAACAGATGATTAAATTGTATGTCTAATTTATACCAAAAGATGTAATAGTGCTTATGTCTAGGGCTAGGATTATAAGAGATATCTGTTTTTATTTTTACTATTTTTTATATTTTCCATGAACACATGTAACTTTTAAAATCAGAAGAATTGTTGTTTAAAATCTGTTAATGTAAACTGTTGACTATTTTAATAGTAATTAATATGAAATAAACCTTTTCCACAAAAGCAAATAAATATTACACTGGGTGACAGAAGATGGGAACAACCACTTTAATTACTTGTTTAAAAACAGTATATTGTAGCCTGCCCGGCATGACTCAGTGCTTGATCTATAAACCAGAAGGTCAGGGTGTGATTCCTGGTCAGGGCACATGCCTGGGTTGTGGGCTCGATCCCCAGTAGGGGGTGTGCAGGAGGCAGCCGATCAATGACTCTCTCATCATTGATGTTTCTATCTCTCTCTCTTTCTCTCCCCCTTCCTCTCTCTGAAATCAACTAAAAAATTTTTTTAAAAATAAATAAAAACAGTATGTTATATGAATAAGACATGTGGAAGTGGAATAGGCATTGAAACTGCCACCAGAATGATCTTTCAAAAAAGATATAGTTTAATCACTTTTTAACATAAAGTTTTTGATGGCTCCCTACAAGAAGAAGTCTGTAAACCGCTTAGAGTAATGAATTTATATGCTGAACTTGGTCTGTCTCTTTAGCCTCCCTTCCAACCATTCTTTATCCATTTCTTGCACAAATCCGTTCAACCACACTACTGTAGTTCCAGTATGTATGCAATGACCCGTCACTTTTTGGGTCTTATACATTATATTCCCTCTGCTTACAAGATGCTTCCTCTCTGGTGAGGATAGCAAAGTCCTACTTAAGGCAACTCAAACATCATCTTTTATGCAAAACATTGAATGAATTTTGTGTCCTTTTATTAGCAGTTATCACATAATTTTGTAGTAATCATTTATGAGCTATCTCCCTGTTTGCCTACCATGCACTCTGAGTTCTTGCTGTGTTTAATTCATTGCTGTGTCTCTACTATCTTCCGTGTCTATTACAGTACCTTCTAATTTCATATGAATGACTGGATGTGTATACTAGGAAAAGGAGAAGTTGTCTTGGTTTTCTTATAGTCTTTGTTTTTTAAATTCTTCCATTTCTTCTTTGTAACTGTCAGTATGCTTTACATTTGTTACAAACTATGTCTCCCATTCTACTCTCCATTGTTTCATTTACCCCTAATTTATTTCTGAATTGTTGACAGCCTTCTCTTAACCATTTCATTAAGTTCATGATTCTTTACCTATTAATGATAAAAATGCTACAGTAACTCACTGACTTATTTTCTGATCCCTGTTTCCCCTTTTTCCAACTTTTTAAAAACCTGTTAACCTCCACTAATGGAACCAGAGGTTTGAGGCATTCTCAAAAGGAAGCATTGATTACAGAAGTCATCATCATGTGTTCGTTCAGTCGTGTTTGATAAGCTCCCTTTTCTTAAATGAAGTATGTGAACTATTGATTCATGTCAAAAAATGATAGGTTACTTTCTCTGTCAAGCAATGCTACTGGATATAATACTAGATGTATTAGTCAGCTCAAGCTGCCGTAACAAAATACTGCAGACTAGAGGGCTTAAACAAAAGAAATTTGTTTTCTCACAGTTCTGAAGGCTAGAAGTCCAAGAACAGGGTACCCTCAGAGTTGGTTTCTGCTGAGGCCTTTCTTCCTGGCTGTGGACAGCAGCTGCCTTCTAGCTGCGTCCTCACTTGGCCTTTCTCTATGTGAGTGTAGAGAAAAAGAGCTCTCTGGTGTCTGTCCCTCTTATTGTAAGGACTCCAGTCCACTTGGATTAGGGCCCCACTGTTATGACCGCATTCAACTTTAATCACCTCTTTAAAGGCTCTATCTTCAAATGTAGTCACATTGGTTAGGACTTCAGTTTTGGAGGGCACAATTCAATTCGTAACACCGTACTTTATAATTCAAAGATGTATACAAAGAAGAAAGAAGCAACCAGAATCCCTCCATCAGACCATTAACATTAGGTGAACATCATTTGAGACATCTAAACCTATACATATACAGAAACATAAATGGCGTGCTGGATGGATGAGTCAGCATAATTTTGTATATGCTAATACAATCCTAAACTTGAATAGAATTCTAGCATCTACAAGTGTGGAAATGAGTCTTCCCTTTTATCTTTGGTGTTCGAATCACACCTATATCATTGTGGAGACTGGACTAAAAAAACAAAGACAAATTAGACCACATTTAAAAAACAACCATAATACTGAAGGGCTACAAGTCTATGGCTTATGAAAAATGATTGAAGGAACTAATGATGATTATTATGGAGAAGACTTGAGGTTCATAATAGCTGCCTTCAGATATTTGAGGAACTCTTGCATGGAAATGGAATAAGATTTATTCTGTTATGTCAAGGTTAAAAGAACCAGTGAGTTGAGTTAACATTAGGAACTATAGAAAGATGAACAAACAAGGCTCCCTGGGACGCAAGTTTCCTGTCCTGAAGCTGTATAAGTACAGTCTGGAACGTCATTTCTTTGGTTTATTTTGATTGGGAGGTTCAAACACTAAACTTTTATATAAGTAAATATATAATATATATAATATCCATTTTATATTTGTAGGTAGTCTGAATTGTGTTTTCCAGTAATTGCAAAAGATTTCACTGTCTTAGAGGTTGTTTCAACTGTTTTGTTATGAAACTGTTAGTGTAAGCAGGTTGTTTACTTTCAGAATTCTTTTTAAATCACCTAATTATAAGTGGTTTTAGTATACCTTGTATCATTGCATTTAAGAAATATTAACTTTTAAAATTTTGTAATAAATACGGTTTAATATTCTGCCATTGGCAGAATCAAAATGTTAATTCTTTGTTATTCATGTTTCTCTCAAAGAAAAGTACTCAAGAATCAACTACACAGCTGATAACACTGCACGAAATGTTAGAGGTAAGTGTTTTGTGTAGTTGTTTTGTCTTGAAGATGTCTCTTAGCGATTTGTGAATAATTTACATAGGCTTGAAAAAGAAAAAACTGCTTTAGTTCTTAAGGTAAGCACCAATCTTTGTTAGATATATTTATGTTAATTTATCTTTAGTATAAAGTTTTTGTTTTCTATATAGTATTAGAAAGAATAGTGTCATTTTTAAAAAGAACATGAAATTAGAACCTGACTCTTAATCAAATGCCAAGATTATTACTTTAAGAAAATTTCATGATATTATTATTTCACAATGAAACCTTATGCTGTTACACTGATGGTATCTTTAGTTGGCAACTGCATTTTATTGAAAATAAGTGAGTTTAAGGATTCTTTCAACAAGGTTGCAGAAATCCATGCATAATTTTTCTTTAAATAACATCAGCCTCTTTTTTTTCCATAATGTCAGGCCTGACTAATTCCAAACAATTATAGAATTGATAAACATCTTTTTCTGCTTAACATTTACCTTCTTTTTTTTAACAAATATCTTTGACCTTTTCAAAAAATGTTTTTGAACGTCATCCAGTTACCAAATATGTGAAATATTCAAGAGATCTTGGTATGACAATCCACTGCGAACTGGGCAGAAAGGAAGGTAAAATAGTGTATGAAGAGGGAGATATTTAATAATTAGTGTGTCTTTTTAAATTCATTGGCAAGTTTAGGAGAAAGATATCACTAAATTTGTTTCATTGTAATTTTATGAATTGGATGCTAAAGTCTCTGTTTTTACCCAGCTAAATAGTTTTGGTGCCTCAAGATACCTTCATATAGAATATTATTGCTTTGAAAGCAAAATACAAATACTTATTAGATTTGTGATTAGAATCTTTTAATAGATTTCTAATTATTCCAGTTTATACTGAAACTAAGAAACTACTGTTTCTTATGGATGACTTAACTTTTTAAAAATAAACAGCAACAAAAAACAAAAGTTGTCATATATGTGACAAATATTGGCAGTTATTAACTGGGAAATACATGTGTAATTTTGGAATAGTGTATTGTGAGATCCCATCTAAAATTTAGAATGAGAAACCATTTTTGTCTACAACTTACATTATCAATGATAAAAGTAACCGATATGTAAACTGCAATTTAGTGAAAAATGATACAATAGACATGTTAATTTTACAGTTGAATTTTTATCATTTATTTCTGGCACCTACTAGAATTAGAAATGAGTAAGAAAGATTTTAAATATATTAAAATAAGCAGTCGCTTTAAAATAGGAATAATATTTAATTCTATTGTCATCATACCCAAAAGAATGAGACCAAAAAACACCCCCCCAGGATGTGTGCTTGAAATAGCTGAAGTTAATGATAGATAAAAATTTTATTTCAATAATTAAGATATTGATATTATTATGAAATGTGATTGAGATGAGTTTCCTAGTGTCACTTTATTGCTATGGCACTTAATATTTGTATAAATTATGCTTTTTCTTTTCCATGTTCCTTAAAATATCTTTTCCTAGATTCTTTTAAATAGATTATTTGGTGTTCCACATGATCCATACGTCAAAATCAGTGATTCTTTTTGGCCACCTTATATTGAGCTGCTCCTGCGTAACGGAATTGCCTTGAGACATCCGGAAGATCCAACCCAAATAAGACTAGAAGCTTTCCATCAGTAAAGGGGGTCTCTTTCACACAGCACTTAAAGGATGTTGTCGTTCAAGGGTAATGGAAACACTGAGTATCGCTTGGATGAAGAAAATTACTTGCAAATCAAAGCATGCCATCCGTATTTCTTCTATCCTTAAAATGACACGTGCTGCCATCTGCTATTCGTTTAAAGCTGGTCCTTTCACGTTCAGGTCGGTGCTCTGGTATTTTCAAGGTGATAGACGAGGAAGCAAGTAAAACTGCTCCAGGCTGAATTGTTGTAAAGCATTTACTGCACCTTATGCAGTGCTCTTCGGAAAACTCTTTGTTAATTTATGATATCACTAATGTCATAATTTATTTAAAAATTTATGACAGTTTCTTTTATGCATTTTGAGTTCTATTTGCTATTTAACTTCTTTAAATTTAGGAATTATAATGGAAAGGCCATTTTAATATGCAGATGGTTTTAAAGCTGACTTAGTGTCTGATGTAGAAAGAAGCATAATTTAAAAGTGTTTAGTAAATCTGTTCCATGTATACTGCCTTATTTCTAGATTTGTTAAAAATTGAAATAAAAAAATGGATAAAAGTAGTAGAAAGCTTTTAAAATTTTATCATATATTAAGTGATATATATTAAACCACTCTCAAGAGTGGTTTACTCTTGTGCTATTGCTAACGAAACTGTCCATAAAATTTTATCTTTGTAACTTTTCTGTAAATAAAATTCTTATCTAAAAATATCTAGCTTTTTTGATGATGTGGCATGATATTTTTATAAACTAAATAGACTTTTTGTTCTTTTTAAATATATCTTTATTGATTTCAGAGAGAGGAAAGGAGAGGGAGAGACAGATAGAAACAACAATGATGAGAGAGTCATTGATCGGCTGCCTCCTGCACGCCCCCTGCTGGGGATCGAGCCCACAACCCGGGCATGTGCCCTGACCAGGAATCAAACCCCTATTGCTTGGATCCTAGGTCGTTGCTCAACCGCTGAGCCACGCCTGGCAGGGCTAGACTTGATAGGTAGATAAATGAAGATATTATAGGGCTCATTCAGGATTATATACAAGCTAAACTATGGAATTCCAAACTCATTTGGTATTGTTACCGGACTAAATGGGTTCAGTTGCCTGCACACATCAAAGTCCAAAAAGACATGCACAGGAGCTGGCAGCTGAGAAAGTGAGGGTTTACTCGTTCAGGAAGTGGCCTACGCCCAGTCACCTGTTAGCTTAATGCTCAAGACCTGACTAATTGATGGCTTCCAGGGAACGGGTTATTAATCGTGGTGACTAAGAGAGTTAGGGGCATGGTCTCTACTGCTATTGGTGCTAGGGTTGGGGGTAGTTCACCAGTGAGTGCATCTGGTCTTGATATCAAAAATGGCATTGCTTCATTTGGTTTCGTCACTTCTCTGGGTCTAGAGCTGAAACAGCTGAGACCTAGATGTTATCTCTAGTTTGACGAAACTGTCTCTGTGGCCAACAAACCGGAGCCTTTGATCCTAAGATTATGTGATACTAATCAGAACCTCATTGTCCTGAGGGCTCAATGATTAAGGGAGTGGACATGCAAGGGAGAAGGAGGCAGATGAATCAGGGTGCTGGATGAGGCCAGTTTAAATCAAAAAAGGAAAGAATGGAGAAAAGATCATATTAAAGAAATGAAGTTTCTACGTGGTTACAATCCCCTTCCCCTTTCTTTTGATCTTACCTCAGTCTTAAAGAATGGAGGGCAACCATGTCCAGGTTCATTCAAGGGGGAGGATTAGCTCGTAAGATGGAGTCAGATTTGTCTGCTTATTGTGCCCCTCTTATCTGGCTCTTACAGTCTCACATGCCCAACTGTTCCTCGATGATCCCCGTGTCTTAGAGGGGGCATTCTAGGTGTTCAGTTTACAAGCAGGAACCACAGCAATGGCTGATGAAGCAATAGGCCAGGATACGTGTACTCTCAGTATTAATCAGAGCACACCATAGTTAGTCTGAGTCTTCAAGACTGCCAGTCGGGAAGACTTCTAGATGAAAGTCTCAGAGCTTCATTTTTGTTGGAATGAAGGGAAGCCATGACAATCTAACATTCCCCTGGCCTGCAGCCCAAACATCCCTGATGAACATCCTGACACCAGCTCAAGAAAGCGCTCTCTGTGGCTTACACAGTATCATTCACCAAAACCATCCAAGCATGAGCTTTTGTGATGATTTCTCCGAAGTTTACATTATGTTGTCTACAAATGCAAGGCTTAGAAACATAGTTTTAGTTCTCAGTGATTTCAAGGCAAAGGATGGGAGAAAAGTGAAACACTAGTTCAGAGGGCCGCAGCCAAATACTTTCATTAGAAAAATTCAGGATCCAGTCCAGTCCACAGGTGAAAAATAAGATTTTAAAGACAATTGAACTAGAATCTAATATCCACAATTGGACATTATGGTTTCCATTGGAATGTTTTTCCCTCTCTAAAATCATGTTTATTTTATCAAATAAGTTAGGACTAACTTATTGTATAAGTCTAGTTTCAATAAATTTGGTCTGTTATTTGCATAATTAGGACAAGAATAGTAATTGATCATATAGGCTCTTTTAAAATGCTTTGCTGGAATTTCATAAGGAATCTCCAGATTGAATTTTAACCTCTCACAGCTAAGAAGCCAAGCCACGTATTTGCCATCAGCATTTGCCTGCAGTAGCTATCTATCTCGGTGAATTCCTCAGGTTGTTGAGGTGCCCCAAATGTCTTGAAGTTCTTGCTATCTCCCAGGAGAGCGACCTTCGTTCTTTACCTGGAAGCACTGCGGTGAGCCATAAGGTACCAGGCTGTTTTTCAAGCCTTATATAGGCCTCCAAAGTCAATCTTAATTTCTTAGAATTTTCTGGTGACATCCAGAGTCTATGCATGTCCTTCTCAAACATGACATTTCCAGTCAAAGGTCTTGGTAATAAANCTTGAAGTTCTTGCTATCTCCCAGGAGAGCGACCTTCGTTCTTTACCTGGAAGCACTGCGGTGAGCCATAAGGTACCAGGCTGTTTTTCAAGCCTTATATAGGCCTCCAAAGTCAATCTTAATTTCTTAGAATTTTCTGGTGACATCCAGAGTCTATGCATGTCCTTCTCAAACATGACATTTCCAGTCAAAGGTCAATTTCTAATTGTGTTCTGTTATAAAAAGAACATATTCCTATCAGATTCACGCAAACCATATTGCTTGAAAATAATATTCTGAGTCTCCAAACTTCTAGATGGATCAGGTAGGGAGAAAAATGTTTCAATACTACTTTCAAAGGTATAGTTTACCAAATTGCTGCAAGTCTTAGGTAGTTTAAGAGAAAACAAGTTTCCTTGTATCTAAGAAACATTAAAAATTAGAAATATTTCCAACAAAAAGTTATAAAAATTATAATCATCCTCAGTTCATTCAGTCCCACAGACTTAATTCTTGTCTATCTTAATCTTTTCAGCACTTCATGAATCCAGTTATTCCTTAGAGCTTTACAAATCTTCATCGAGTTTAAAGGTATGACCTAAAAGTTTATTCTCAGAAAACTATTAGAACTACTCAGAGTTCTTTTGAAACACACTTGAAAAACAACGTAAAACAATGACTGTCTCTAAATGGCAAAGCAAAATGACATGGTTATAGATCTGATTATTATGTAACTGACAAAGAACTTTGTTTTTCTTTAACAAAGCATTTTAAGATAATCTAGACTGCATAGACTTCTGGAGATTTTTATATCTCCAATATATAATATCCGTTAATAATAAGAATATATGTGCATAAGTACAACACAACTATTTTCTTAGTTGACAAAGCTCATGCAACTCAAACATATCAAATAGGCCCAATTAATTTAAAACCTCTTCCTTGCAAGGAGAGAGAACAATTTCTTTGAGGTGTTCCAGGGGCCCATTGGAACAACCCAAAGCCATTTCAAGATTAAGAAAGTCTTCTGTTAAAATTTGAACCCTGGGAAGTTTGTCAAACACACTTGACCAAAAAGATCACACATCATTATGAAGCAATATTAAATTTTTATTCACCTAAAGTGACAATAAAAGGTATCAAAATAAAAAAGCAGGTTAGCAAAAACTTTAGCTTTTTGGATTCAGAAAATTGTTTTCTTAAGTAATCAAGTGCCTGGTCAAGACAACAGAAAACTAGTCTAATAAAGCATAGAACCTCTGCTTTTCTAGGTGTAAAACCTTCTATAATATCTGTAGTAGTAGAAGTGCAAAAAAGCTTTCCTGTTTTGAAAGAGTGAAAAAGAAACTCATATTCGGTATTAATTTACTTTTGATATTTAAATTCATTACTTAATTAACTTTTAATCTTAGCTTAACTGTATATAGAATCTCCTCAAGATCTTTCTTCACAGACCTTCCATAACTTTCTTCCCCCCTTAGCTTGTCTCTTTCTCGTTCAGAAATAACCCACCTTATTTTAGGACAAATCTTGTTCTTTTAATTCCACACCTTTTATTACTAAAATCATATAGTTTGTTTACATCCCAATTAGAAATCTTAACTTTGGAACCTCAATTTCTGGTGACAACTAAAAAGTAAGCAATTAGTATTCTTTAGATTGATATATTTATGAATACATTTAATAATTTCTTTATTTTTAAATCCTCACCCAAGGATATTTTTCCGTTGCTTTTGAGAGAGAGTGGAAGGGAGATAGAGAAACATCAATGTGAGAGAGACACATTAGTTGGTTGCCTTCCGCAGGACCCCAGTGGGGATGGAGCCTGCAACCAAGGCATGTGCCCTTGGTCAGAATTGAACCCAGGACCCTTCAATCCACAGGCCAACACTCTAACCACTGAGCCAGACTGGCTAGGGCCATTAAATAATTTCTAAAAGTATTTTTCCAATAGCAAATTTTTTTAATGTGCATGCGACATGTTTACTAATGGACCCAAATATCTTCAGTTTCTTTATAATAAGCAGAAAGATAAATCTGTGTTCAGTAATTAATGTTTCATTATTTTATCTTCAATGAGTATCCATTATTTAGTTAGCAAAACTTAAAGTTTCAAGTTACCATGAAGATTTTTAACATTATTTAAGTACAATATAATTATTGCTAAAGACTTAACATAAAAGGAACTTTTTATCCTGTTTACATTTATGTAATTTACTTGCTTCTAACAATTAACTGTAGATTACTTATGAAAATTTCATCATACCAAGTTTCCTGCAGACAAATTTTACAGCAGAGATGCATGAATTTATTTAACTGTAAACCAAGGTAGAATAAAAGTATTATTTAATGCTGATGATTTTAAAGATACACGTTTTAAAAAACAAAAATATACATATTTAACCAAACCAAACTCAAAACAGTTTAATATGAAATATTTTCCCAGATCATGTGATTCTGTAAAGAAGTTGGGTTAGTTTCTGTTATATTTTTGAGAATTCTCATATAAGTGCGTGTTAGTTTAAGCCAATTTAATAGAGCTCCTTTTTTTTTTTTTTTAAGTTAATGCCATTCGGATGTAAAAAAATACCACAATGCACACGAACATACAGACAGACACACACACAGATCTTTTAGCCACGAGACAGGCACCATAAAGCAAAGTTCACTAATTTTAGAAGGAACAGCTGGAATAAGTTAAATTGATCTGCTCAGATGACTACAGTTTTTTTCCTTTTAATATTTGTGGAGAAAGCACTTAAGATCTGTGTTTGTCCTTGGTAAGGGAACTTTGGAACCATAGAAACAGTTTGTGCTTT